CATCACCTGTAATCCCAGCACTATGGGAGGCTGAGGTGGGTGGATCATGAGGTCAGGAGTTCGAGACCAACCTGGCCAACATGGTGAAACCCCATCTCTACTAAAAATACAAAACTTAGCCCCGCATGGTGGTAGACACCCGTAATCCTAGATACTCAGGAGGCTGAGGCAGAATTGCTTGAACCCGGGAGGCGGAGGTTGAAGTAAGCTGAGATCACATCACAGCACTCCAGCCTGGGGGAAAAAAAGGGCTTAGCACATGCCTCAACACAGGTCACCACTCCCACTCCTATTATTGTTGTTTGGCTGGTGCAAAAAAGTAGAGGCTGTTATTCACACACTGACCGTGTATCCCCTCCCACCAATGTGCAAGGTTGGTTTAACCCCCACCATCCCCAGCTTCTGCATCTCCTAGAGAAAGCTGTCCTGCCAATGGCAGTTTTATACAAAAGACACCACTGGCTTCCCCCAAAGAGGTGGATCTTGTGCCCAGAGACTCCGAATCTCTTCATTCATAAATTTCCTTCCAACATTCCACGTCCCCTCCTCAGGACTCTCCCTTCAGATGCCTGGGACGGCTGAGGGTGCTTTAAAGTCAGTCTTTCTGGGAAGGGCTGAACTCTGTGCTCCTTCCCATGGAGGACCACAAGTAAGTGGCAGTGCTTACCCAGGAAGCCATCACAAACTGATGCTACAGCCTTAGCTAGGAGGCATGTTCTGGAGCAATCCGGAGTCCCGGTGTCTCTGACCTCCCACTGAGGCACAGCAATTAAGGGTCCAGCGTAAGACAGACCACCTTTCCCATCCCAGATTGTCACGTTCTACCCTGTCCAGCAGCTGAATCTCTGCATGCCTCAATTTCCTCATCAGTAGAATGGAAATAATAGTTGTGTCAGCCTCATGAGATTATCATACAGTTAACAATGAAATATATTCAGAAGCACTTAGCTGTCTGGGCTGGGTCAGGGGTAGGTATTATTAACAAAGACAGCCTCCGACTGCAAGCTGAACGCCCTGGCTTTTCATTCCATTTTGGCCACAAACTGACTAACAACTCTGGCAAGTCCCCGCCCCTCTCTGGGCCTCAGTTTACCCCTCATACTCTCCAAGGCTCCCCGCTCCCCGGAAGCCCATCATGCTGGGTTCATGTCTGTTTCATGTGACCTCTCATAACTCTGTTTGCTCTGTCTTCACCCAACGCCAGCACCAAGTCTGAGTGGTTTTCCTCCTGAATCTCCACATTTGTCAGGGAGACCTGCCTATTCATTGCGTTTCTTTTCCAGGAGCAGAAAACCAAGACTTGCCAAGCCAGGGTTCAACCCACATCCTCTGCTTTTTGAATCACACACACACACACACACACACACACACCATGCGCACGCACACACACACGTTGGCAGAACAGCCATCTCCTGCTGCCTTCATCTTCCCGTGCCCCGTCACATTTATCCCAAAGTCCTTGTCAGAATGTCCCCCCAGGGATCAGCAGGTGGGAAATGTCATTTTGGATCCATTACTAGAGCTCTAAGGTGCTTAGAGATGATCAACACCAATTTCAACTTCCATCCAGGGAGGAGGGAAGGTCAGGAGCAACCCTCATCTCTGGCAAGGGGATCTGTGCCAGCCATCCCAAGCCGCCGGGTACCACCACCCCAGGGCAGGGAAGGAGGGCAGCTTGCGGGGGCCGGGGGACGCCAGCCACTCTGTGTCCTCAGATTTCCCTGCCACGGCTGATTTGAATAATTCAGCAATGCCGGGTCTCCTGGGCACTATTGTCTTCAGTGAAGGCAAATCAGTCGCCCGCTCGGCCTGTTAAGAGGGCCCCTGCCTGCTGCCTTTTTTTGTGAATCAGGATTAATGAGATGGTGAGGGGAAGCGCCGAGCCCTGGGCAGAGATGCCGGCAGCCGGCTCTCCGGGAGCAGCGGGACTCAGAAGTGGCTTCCGCCTTGATGTCCTCAGGCAGTCTTCGGGGGCAGCCATCAACCTGTCGATAACTAGCTATCACCCAGCCTGCCAGACCCCCGGCCTCCTGCTCAGCTCCCATGACTTCAGGAAAAAGAGACAGCAACAGGGAAAAGGCGGTCGGCAGGCGGTCTTCGCCCCTCACCTCTGGCAACGCGGGAGGCTGGGGTGGTAAATGCCACAGAAGGCTTCCTTTCCTGCAGGCTGCGCCAGAGTGAGATGCGAGGGTGATCCTCCCAGCCCAACCCCAGGGCTGGTAGAGAGTTTGCTAGGTTCCAGCCTCCGCTGCAAGGAGGTTACACAGAAAGCCACGACCCCATGACTGGTTTGATGACTGTCACTCACATAAGGTACAAGAGACTATGTCCTTGTGCCTCTCGCTGGTGGTGCCTTCCTCTCCCTCCCTCTGCCTTGGAGTGGTCAAACAGGTAGGTTCAGGCTACTCCGCTTGTATGCTGTGTGACCACAGACAAGCCGCTTAACCTCTCTGGGCCTTAATGACCTAATCTACAAAAATGAAGATGAATACATGAATTGCCCCACAGTTTCCTAGGAGGATTTCTAGGTATTTAAGCTTGTAAGCCCTTATGACTAGCTGATATCAAGCACACAATTGTGTGATCATATTGTATTCGTATCATCATTGCCAACTCTAAGATAGCTCTACGTGTGGTGTTGTCCACAGCCCATGCCAGGTGGCAAGTCATGTGTGACCTGTCCACAGTGAGGTATGCACAAAGAACACACACAGAGAAAGAAAAGTATTTAGAAAGTTTTGTCATAATTTGGCGGACAGCAATTTTGTATTATTGAATATAATAATAAAAAAACAAGGGCTTAGATTGTGTATGTTTTGTTTTTCATTTAATTTTTCTAGGAATTTGCTTTTTTACTATATTTTTTAAACTGTCATTCTGCAATAAATTGGAATTAAAAAAAAAATACTGGTGCCTCAGCACAGACAGCTTGGGAAGAGTGCTCTGACCACACTCCAACACACACACAAATCCCCCGGGGATCTTGTTAAAATGCGCTTACTGATTCAGTAAGCAGCGGTAGGACCTGAGATTCTGCATTTCTAATAAGAGCCCAGGGGAGGCTGAGGCTGCCGGTCCAGGGACCACACTAGTGAGGGGACTGTGTGGCGCACCCTGGCTGATGCCTGTTCCCCACCTTACCCAGATAAGAAACCTCTCCATCACAAAAGCTCCCTCCTGGTTTGCTCTTGGCTAAAGACTTCCCAAGGTCTCTGAACACACAGATTACACAGTTCAGACCCCACTACCAAATCAGAGGCATGTGTCAGGAATTCCACATGCTGCAAGCATCAGCAGCACCAACGACTAGCATACAAGTAGCACGTACCACGTGCCAGGCATCATATTTGAACACTTCTAGAATCTTCAGCGGCAGCTCTTCTAGCCTCTGTAAGTCTTTGAGATAATGCAGGCCAATTCTGAGCACAGTACCACGCAGAGCCAGCACTCAATCACTACTAGCTATGACAGCTATTCACTTTTCTGTACCCTAGCAATTTATCCTCACAACTCCTTAAAACAGAGGTGTAGCTGTTAGCTACTGCTGTGTAACAAACCAAGCCCAAACCTAGCAGCTTGAAACAATATCCATTTATCCATGATTGCCCATGAGTCTATGGGTCAGGTGGATGTTCTGTCTTTCTGGGGATGTCTCAGCAGATATTGGCTGGCTCACTCATGCATCTGTGGTCATCTGGAAGGAGAGTTCTGGAATGGCGTCAGCTGAGACACTTTATGTCTGTTGTACTTGGCCTGTCATCCTCCAACAGGCCAAGCCTCTTCCTATGTGGGTCACAGGGTCAGAGAGAAGAGACTGCACAAGGCCTCCTGAGACCTAGGCTCGGGACGGACGTATTACCGCTTCTGCCCCATTTTATGGCCAAAATAAGTCACGTGACCATCCCAGCATCAAGGGGTGGGGAAATGGACTCTGTCTCATCATGGGAAGAGCTATGAAGTCACATTCCAAAAGACACATACACAGAGAAAGGTGGAGACTTAGGGCCATTCTACAGGTCTATCATTGTCCCCTCTTGCTAGATGAAGAAACCGAGGGTCAGAGAGGTTCGGAGATTCGCCTGAGGTCTGACAACAGCTAGAAAGAGACACAGCCCAGCTCTGCCTGACTCTGGAAACTATATTCGTAACCTCTATCTCAGACTCTTCTCCACATTTAAAAAAAAAAAAAAAAATTCTGGTAACTCAATTGACCAAAGGAAGAGGATTTTCAAATATTTTGACATCTCCAATGGAGGTTTTTGCCTGCTGTGGCTCCTGTGCCTCCCCTGCCCTCTAATCACAGGCCTGCTTCCCTTCACCTGCTCTCCCTTGCCTCCTGAGTCTTGCAGCTTCAGGCAATTTATCTTTCCCTCTTTTTTTAAATGGTCTCTTTAACACAAGGGTTTTCTAACAAGACAAATTGAAGGGCTTGGGCATCAAGCTGAGCTTATCCATGCTCATAGAAGGGGGTGCAATGAGGAGCAAAAGGGAGCCTGGAGAAGACACAGGCACAGGCTGAGCGGTCCCCCCAAATTCTGAAATTGGAGAAGCATGTATCTTCAAGCTCCCTTTTTGCCCACTTGGGGAAAAGAGCACTCTTGTTCCCAAAATCTTGTGACTCTCGTCCTGTGTTCCCCAGACTTCCAGAGTTCCAAAAATATATTTGGAAGCTCCTTTAAATGAGTTGCAATGTTTCAGGTAGTCTAGAAACTCAGGAAGTTTAGAAATATAACTTTACTGTTCTGTAACTGGATATAATTGCTACTACAGCCTGTGTCCTTCCAGGTGGCAAAAATATAATCCTAGTTCATTTAGGGACCCCTACCCACTTTCTCCAGGTCTGTGTCCAAATTCTGGGGGGATTGCAGTATGCCAACTTGAGTGCATTGTTTATCAGTTGCTACATAACAAACTACCCCAAACCTTAGCATCTTAAAGTGACAATGAACATGTATTATGTCACATGATTTCTGTGTGTCAGGAATTCACGAGCAGCTTACCTTGGTGGCCTAGCTCTGGGTTGTTCATGAGGCTGTGGTCAGATACAAGCCAGGGCTGTAGTCTCAGCTGATGGCTTGACTGGGGCTGGAGGCTCCACTGCCAAGGCGGTGTGCTCACATGACCAGCAAGTTCATGCTGGCTGTTGGTTGGGAGCCTCTCCACAGAGCTACTCAGACGTCCTCCTCACATGGCTTCCCTGAGGGCAAGAGATCCAAAAGGATTTGACAAAAGCTGCAATTCCTTCATGACATAACCTCAGAAGTCACACGTCACCTCCTCTGCACAATAGTGATCACACAGGCAGTACTGATATAATGAAGAGGGAGGCAGGGGGTGGTGGCTTGCACTTGTAATCCCACCGCTTTTGGAAGCCAAGACAGGAGGGTCACTTGAGCCGGGGTGTTTAAGGCCAGCCTGGGTAGCATAACAAGAACCCTGTCTCTACAAAACAATTAAAAATTAGCCGGATGTGGTGGCACATGCCTGTAGTCCCAGCTACTCGGGATGCTGAGGAAGATCGCTTGAGCACAGGAGTTCAAGGCTCCAGTGACCCGTGATCATACAACTGCACTCCGGCCCGGGCAACAGAGCAAGGCCCTGTCTTTTGAAAATAAATAAATAATAAAGGAAGAGACCGAATGAGAGTATGAATCCCAGGAAATGGGACTCACGGCAGCCCATCTGGGAGGCTGGCCTCCCACAGGGTGTCAGGAATGAGGCTTGTCTGGTTCTTGACGGTGTATTTATCTCACTGGCTTCTGCTGAGATGTTCTCGCTCACGTCTGACGTTGCAAAAACCCTCCTTCACTCCTCACTTTAAGCCCTTTATGCTCTTTCAAAGGATGCATCAGTGTCTGTTCTACAACTCAGAGTCTTTTCTGTTCTGGAAACAGGGACGCTACGCTTTTGCATCTTTCCATATCTTTTGTCATCTGCCCAGACCTTGGCTGGCTTTTCAAATTCGAAAGCCAAGAATTTGACTTGGTCCCTATCTGCTCTGTGCTGTGTCATTCTTTCCTTGAGGCAATAAATGCCACATGGTCTGGCTGCTGCTGCCTGAAGGGGGACGCTGGTCACAGGACATAAATAAATGCATGGAATTAAAAACACACACACACATATGCAAGACCTTGGTTAATATTCCAGAGTATTTTTCTGCTATGCTGCAAAAACAGTGGGTGAATATAAGTTGTCTTTATCATCTCTGTTCATTTTCACTGTGACCCTGTAAAACGAATCTCAACAACCCCATTTTATAGATGAAGAAAGAGAGTCAGAGAGGTGAGGTGACTGGCTAACCCCATATTCCAGGTAGATGGATTATGCGTAACTCAACTCCAGGTTTTCTGACGCAAGTCAGCACTCTTGCCCCAACTGCACTCTTTCTTCTCTGCCTTCTTTTCCCCTTTGAAATCTGCTTAGTTTAAGATGTTTTCGTAACCACTGAAAAGGTACCTTCAGAGGATTTATAAGCTAAAGAGAAGACCTTTGAATGGTGGGGTTTGATGTGCAGAGCACTCACGGGAGACACCTGAAGGGACAGGGGATCCATTCAGCACCCCTGAAATGATACAGCACGTCATCTCCTCCTTCACCCACAAGTCAGGTTGACCTTTGAATGGGAAGGATTCTAGACAGAGGGCAAGAGAAACAGATGGACTTACAGACAGAGCAGCAGGAGAGAAACAAAAGCAAAGTGATCCTTTCCATCCTGTTGCCTCAAAGAACCTCTCCGAGGAGTGTCAGCGTCTGAATTTGATACCAACTCTGGAAGGTTATTAAGTTTGAACTCCTAATAAAGAACAGATGGGAAATGGAAAAAATCAAAGATCAAAATATGCTTTCCATATTTTTTGCCTAAATGAAAAAAAAAAAAATGTCAGGAACCACTGATCACCTTTTGCGAGTGTCACATCCCCAGGGCAGGATTCCCGAGTAGTCAGCGGGTGTGTTTCCTTGACAGATCCAGGCGTGGCTGCAGTATGCAGAAAAGGCAATGGTTTCCAGGCTGTAGCTGAAGGGTGGAGGGAGTTACCCCACAGCTCCCCCAAAGTCTCAGGATCCATCATCTGAACAGCGAGGGACACAGGTTATGGAGAAACCGAACCCCACCTTCTAATTCTGGATCTGCCATTATAGGTGTGACTTTAGGCAAGTGATTCCATTTATCCGGGCCTCAGTTTCCTCATCTGTAAGGATCTTTGAAATGATTTAAATAAATTGCTGCAGGGTAATTGTCTTGTGATACCTATTTAAAAAGAAGTGGTAATTGCAACAGAGAGAAAATCACATGTTCACTAAATGTTGTTTTGTATTAACTCTTCCTGGATGCACAGAAAACTACCTTTGCTGACCTCTTCCAGCTAGGGGGTCATATGACTGGCTTTGTGAGTGGAAATGCTGAGCATCACTTCAGGCCAAGGAAGTGTGCTGTCCCCACGAGATTTTCCAATCTCTCTCATCCCCTGACACAGCATCCTCAAATTGCAGCACAGAATTTAAAAAGCCTGGATCACTGAGTCACCACATGGATCATGGTACCTAGGCCCACAGTGGACTCCACAGGGGTGAAAAACAAACTTTGTTTCTGAGATTTGGGATTGTCTGTTACAGCAGCCCAGCGGATGCTGAGTAATTTAGAAGTCATTATTATTACTGCTATTACTGCTGTGTTGTATCTAGAAGGCAGTCATTTAAATTCATATTGGTTCCTTAGGATTGTTAAGTAACTGACCTAGATGAAATACACAGATTGCTATTGAGCTCCCCGGTAGGGAGGTGTGATATAGCAGGAAGGTTTGACAAGGAAAGGAGATAGAAAGGGCTTATCGCAGAGAACCATAAGGATTTGCCCAAACCCAGTGGGAGGAATTTCAGCATCCCTCTTCTGCCATATCAGATACACAACGTTTGCTTCATTTTCTTTCATTGCCCCTCACCTCCCACTCCATCCTCCGTGCACCCACTTTTAACCACCCGGCACCCTCTCGCTGTCCTGGTCACACAATGGCCCCTAACGCCTGATCCCAGGTGTGGTTGCTCTGGTTTTAACCTTAGACACAGCCAATCTATGAGACTTTCTTAGTCAATGGCACCCCCATCATCCCTTGCCCCTGATGTCCCACCCTGGTATGAACCATTGTCTCACAAGGGGAGCTTAGACACATTAATCCAACATTAATCCGAAAAAAGAGAATAAAGATTATTTCTTGAAATAATTGAGCCAGAGAGTCCATGTCCCCGGATCATCATATCTCAGAATCAAAGAAATGCAAAATCAAAGAGCTATAGAAGTTGAGGATATAGTGCTAAAGAATCAAAGAATACTAAAAACCATAGAATCATTAAAAAAAAAAAAAAAAAAAAAAAAAAAAATCAGAATTTGCAATTAAAAAAAAAAAAAAAAAAAAAAAAAAACAGAACTATAGATCCCAGCTGAACCTAAGAGTGGAAATTTGACACGTTGGGCCTGCTGTACGGCATCTATTTGCATGAGGACTGCAGGCTGGAGGAGAAGCAAGATTTGTGCTCGGGATCCTAAAAGATGGAGAAGACAAGGCAACATGGTCTGTGCCTCCCTTTGCTTCATATAAACCAGCAGGGGAATCCTGGTAGTCCTTCTATAAAGCTACATTTGTCTCTTGACAAAGATTCTCTCCTTGACCGAGAGGTCGTCAGGCTCCTCTGAACCCTCCTCTTGGCTAAGGCTTGACCTTGGCACCTGTCTTTGCAGGGCCTACAGAGCCCAGCTGTAGTAAGAATTCTGCTGAGGTGGTTTAGGGAGAACCGTCCGCCTCCCCCATAACTGGTCGTCCTTCATATCTTGTCAAATCCCTCATCTTTCCACTGTCCCCCAGGTAATATCTGTTCACCTTGGCCTGCCTTCAGCAGCAATCCCTCCTACCTTTGATCTCCCCTCTTACTGATTTTCCATCCACTTACCCACTCCCTAACCTGCCGCCCTTGATCACAAATCTTCACTTGTTGCATTGGAAGTTGAACCTGATCTCTCTCCCCTATTGCAATTGTCTTGATACCGAACAACATAGTCCTAGATAAAGTCCTCCTGTTTTCACATATGTCAGAATAATTTTTTCTTTAACGCTCTTCAACCCGCGTGCTGCGATCCAATGAGAGTCAAACTTTGTGTGAAATTTTTTTTTCAAATAAAATCCAATGAACAAAACGGGTTGAGCTGATCATGTTGAAAGCAGGAAGTGAACGTGAAATTCTGTGCACCTCATAGTTGCCCCCCTTACAGTTCCTTACGTTCCTTGGGGACCCCAAGCACAGTTAGAAAACCTCTAGGAAGGTGGGGGACTCTGCACAGAGAGCTGGACGGTTGGCATCTCAGTGCCACTGGGGCTTCCTGCCACATACTCCCCTGCATCATGAGGCTAGAAGCCTGGGAACAATACCTGCCCAGCTCCTTCGTCAGTAGAGTTCCAGTTCAGCTTCCCTCAATGTGAAGTATTCATGTAGATCTGGAGACAGGAGAGAAGAAGAAAGCATTATTCTCCCACCACCAGCGGGACTTCCGTAGAAGGCAGACATATGGTGTTTCCCAGCATCTTCTGGACAGTTTCTCTTAAATAACCCACATCGGTGCTGTAGGCAGCTGAGGACATGAGTAGGGGTGCTCTGCAGGAATCCCTGCACACCCTGCTATCTTAAGTGCTGCAGAAGTTCCCCGACCTTCCAACAGTTTTCTAAGCATTGCATTCCCTGTATTAAATCTCTTCCTGATTGAAATACCTAGGGGGGTTTCTGTTTTCCTCATGCTTCCTGAAGAATGCAGACAGTCAGGACACATGGCTTCTAAATTCATCTAGAGGTAAAGGGTAGGTTGGGCTAATAATGGGTATCCACTGATAAAAAACAACAATAGCAACTCTAATTTTCACTCTGTATGTGCAAGGCACTAGGATGTGATGTGAGGCAATTTACCCAACTTGTCTCATTTATGAGACAACCTCCCCTCTCTTTTTTTTTTGAGACAGAATCTCATCTTGTTGCCCAGGCTTGAGTGCAGTGGCGCAATCTCGGCTCCCTACAACCTCCGCCTCCCAGCTTCAAGTGATTCTCCTGCCTCAGCCTCCCGAGTAGCTGGGATTACAGCGTCTGCCACCACACCCAGCTAATTTTTTGTATTTTCAGTAGAGACAGGGTTTCACCATGTTGGCCAGGCTGGTCTTGAACTCCTGACTTCAGGTGATCCACCCACCCCAGCCTCCCAAAGTGCTAGGATTGCAAGCATCAGCCACTGCACCCGGCCGAGACAAACCTTTAAGAAAGACGTTAGAAGGGAATTTCATATCTCAACCCGACTCTTCTGCCCTTTCTGGTAACCACTTTTTCCAGCTCTCTACCAGAGAAAAATACACTGAGATCCTTATTTGGACAGTGTACAATATACATTGTACCACATTTCAGTTATGGACAGGCTTACCATGCCACCAAATCAGCACCCACTTGCCTGATTCTCTCAAAGCAGGGTTTTATCCTGGGGGAATCTCTGGCCATCCCCCCTGGTCTTTATTTGCTTGATATAGCTGGTGGGGTACATGCACTTAGGACCCCTCGCAGCATCTGGCCATCTTTCTCTCCCTACAGGAAATCCTGAGCACACAGATCCCAAGATTTATATTTATGGGAAATCAGAAGTCTCTCTTGAACTTGGAGATGAAGAATAAAGAATACTTTCTTATTTGATTGTTATTTATCACGCACCGAAACTCTGTCAGCCCAAAATCCTGTCAGGATGGGGAGATCAACGGCAGATCAGAATTAGGCACTCCGGAATCACCTTCCCATCGCTAACAAAACTCACTCCCAGTTGCTACTGGAAATTCCCATTGCTGACAGCAAAGTAGCCCCAGTTGCTATTGGAAAGCACTGTTGCCCAGAGAAGTAAAGCAATTAGCTTAGTGTCACACAGTTAGTAAGTGGTAATAGCCCAGATTCACTCCTGCCAGTCCCATTTCTGAGTCTGCTCACTTCATGACTGCACTACTTTTTTTTTTTACATGAGAGATAGTGGTTTGAAGTCCTTCTCAGTTGGAATTTTCCTTTCTGTCAAGTGAGAGAGACATTTTCAAGGTTGCACTGGGTAACAACACCCTGAAATCCCAAGACTCTGAATTCCTTGATAGAAATGTCAACACCCCTGTCCGCTGCCTACACAGCCTGACATATGGTAGGAACTTACTGAATGTTTCACTTATGACCAGGCGATCGCCCTTACCCTCAGTGGGCATGAGTCTGCCTTTTTTGCTAATTCTACACTTGACTTCTAAAAACATCAAAGGCAGGGAGGAAGGACAAGAGGGGAAAAGGGAGGATTATTCTCACTTTATTTTTACTTTAAATAATAGAGATAAAGAGAGAAAGACTGAGAGAAGGGAGTCATCTTTCCCTCCTCCTTTTTAAACAAATCCTAATTTCTGTAGAGGCAAGTCCTTCGGCTTTCTACCTGTGACTTCCCATTTCTGGTCTGTAAAATGGGTACATAGCACCTACACGCCTTACTTTGCTAAGGACATTCAACCATGACCTTCCAATGTGATCTTGCCGCTTCTACACCGCAGAGCCTTGGCAGGCAACGCATTCTGCTTCTCCAAGCTTCACTCTCCTCTCCCGTAAGATGGACCTCATGTTCATGCTCATGCCTCCCTCACCCTGCCACTAAGGACACGAAGTGAGACACAATGGAGGAAAGTCTCTGCAAAGGGGTTAGCTGATGTAAGCAATGCTAATAGCAAGACTCTGAATGCTCTTCCCCCAAGGAGTCAAGATAACCTCCAAAGCACTCCAGGCTCAGTCCTTCATTTTTTCCTCCTAGCCACCCTCTAAGGCAGCCATCATCCCATGACTTGGCAGGTAAGGAAAAACCAATGCCTGCAACTCACATGGGGCTCCAGTCTCAGCATCGTCATCCTTTTGCTGGGCAACCCACCCTGCTTTGAGCCTCGATCTTCCTTGCCTGTGAAATGGGGCCAAACATCTCTCCTCTGCAGAATTCGTGCAGTGTGGTTTCCAGCACATTCTAGGTGCTCACATCCTCTTGCTCTCCCTGGGAGGCTCAGGCCTTGCCTAAGGATACCCAGCTCTTCAGCATGGGGCGCCCAGGCCTTGAACTCAGAGCTCCCAAGACCCAGTTCTGCCCCCTCTGCCGGCAGAAGGCACTGCCCCACGTTCTCACTGGGTGTCCCTGGGAAATACTTCCATTGTAATTCCTTGGGCTTGAAGCAAAAATTAAAGTTGCTGACAGCCTGTTCACCACCGTGCCGATTTGTAATATTGATGAATCAGGAGCCGGGCCTGGCTCTGGCTGTGGGTACAAGTGCCCAGAATATTCATGAGCCGTGCTGCCATTCCCTGATGGCATCACTTCCCCTTTACGGTGCCATTATTCCACCGCCACATCACTTGCTCCAACGTGATCTTCCGATGCCTCCCACACATCCCAGCCTGGGCAGACACCCCGCTCCTGCCTGGAACTAAATTCCAGGCTACAGTGAGGACAATTGGGCTGTCACCAGCGCACGGGGACATCATGGGACAATCAAAGGGCCTGAGCTCCCACCAACTCCTCACAGGAGGTCATCTTCATTCTCCAGCTTGGAGCTCCAGTCGAGGAAAGCAGCTTCTCATTCAAGCCCATGGAACAAGGCGACAGCTTGGTAACTCCCTCTCTTACCCTCCAAGGCCTGACCTGGATATCTTCGGAATCAGGGACATATTTCTCAATAAATATCCTTATCCCAGAGGGAGGCAGCCTGTCTGTCCTTGCACCCTGCAAAAGCTTGTGTGTTAGATGACGTGAGTCACCGTGTGCCTTTCTGGTTAAACATTTAGACTACAGCATTTGGAGATGAATGATACATACATGTATTGCATGATTACGATTAAATATTAAGAAGATACAGAGGCAGGAACCCGGTCGGCCTGAAGAAAATGAAACCCAGGGGCACAAATGTCAGATCTGAGAGGTGCTGAAGGGGGGATAATTAAGAGCATCAAGGTTGACCCACGGCCAGTCGGGTTCGAGGCCACCCTGGCAGAAAGCAACCACCTGCCTCCCGTCGGTCCCCTAATGAAGCTGAATAGACACATTGGTTGCTTTTCTCTTCCTGCCTTCTTTCCATCTCTTTCCCCCCTTCCCTCTTTCTTTCTTCGCTCTCCAAGGCAAAGCCAGCTTGGGCAGCCTTCCCTCCTCGTCTCTGCCGTACCACTCCAAATCTGACTGCATTTTTAAATTGTATTTGATTAGGTTTTACGAGCTGACTTGCTCGACGTGGTACAAGTTGCAGTATATGTCAGAGGCCTGGCAGAGACTTGAATTGAAATGATTCTAATTACGTGTGATAATTTTTGCATTCTAACATAAAACAATGTTACCCAAAAAAATCCCATTACCATGGTTAAAAGACAAATCATTTAGCAAGTCCCTTTCTTTATTACTTTATTAGACAATTTACAAGGCAACATTTTGAACATTGGGACCGGGTGATGGCCCAAGGCTATCCAACTGTAAGTTGCGCTAAGGAAAGGGAGCTCATCTCTTGTCATTAGTCAGAGAGTCAAATGCAATCACGGGGACTCCAATTGGCTTGTCAAATTAGCCACCATTTCAAATCATTAGCATGGCAGAGCACTGCAAAATGCAGGGAGCTCCGAAAAGAAGCATTTAGCCGCCACCCAAGATGTTTTAGAACGCCTCCTCCAAGCAGCATCCAAATATCCCAGATTCCTTCCCTGAAGTTCCCCACCACCCACCCACCCCCAGCATACACCATCCTGCCCCAATCCTGGCAGCTTGGTCATGTGACCTGTTCTAGCCAGTAAAATTAAAGCAGGGATGATCTGTGTCACTTCTAGGCAGAATCTGCAAGAGATAGTGCATGCTTCTCTGAATCTTTTTTGTTTTGTTTTGTTTTGTTTTGTTTTGTTTTGTTTTGTTTGAGACAGAGTCTCACTCCATCACCAGGCACCAGGCTGGAGTGCAGTGGCGTGATCTCGGCCCACTGCAACCTCCGCCTCCCGGGTTCGAGCAGTTCTCCTGTCTCAGCCTCCCGAGTAGCTGGGGACTACGGGCATGCGCCACCACGCCTGGCTAATTTTTTTGTATTTTTAGTAGAGATGGGGTTTCACCGTGTTGGCCAGGATGGTCTCGATCTCTTGACCTCGTGATCCGCCTGCCTTGGCCTCCCAAAGTGCTGGAATTAAAGGTGTGAGCCACCGCACCCGGCCTCTAAATCTCTTTTTTCTCTGCCTTCAGACTAGCAATGCCCTAGCCTGGCAATGTCCACTGACTGGAGTTATGGGTAAAAAATATTTTTAGCAAAGCATAACATGTAATGATGAAAATGTGAATGGTGAACATGTAACTTGAGTGAAAAATGAACCTTTGCTTTTTGTAGAGTGACTAACCTTCCTGATTTTTGAAGATCTGGGGAAGTTCCAGAGACACAGGACTTTCAGT